TAAAACAGGAAGTAATGTAAATTTTCTCATCGAAAAATAAAGAAAAATCCCGTTGTTACCTGAACTATTCTGTCGGCATAAGCTTTTGCTTTTTCATATTCATTGTCAAATTTCAATTATATATATCCGTAATAAAGCAATGTTGATGTGAATGGACATTATTAACTTTAGCTAAGTTGACGGGACATGTCAAGAAGATGAGATTTGAGTTTAATTAATTAATTAATGGTCTATAATCTGTGCGACCAACCTGTGTACTAAATAGGTTGATTTAAGGAATCTATGAGTGACTTTCGAGTATGTTAATGATGTGTCATAAGATAATTTTATATTGAGATTTTTTTTTTCTTTTTTGCTTTTTAACTTTTGTTTTTACACTATGTTCAAATTTATTGCTTGAACGAACTTTAGCTTTGAAGATATGGTGCAAGTGAATTTTACCATCCAGATCTATGCTTAAGGTAGGAACGGGTGGGCGGCTCGGCTGGGCAGGACGACCATCGACCACCCATCCCTTTACTGTCTAATTGTTTATTTTATTTTATTTTGTTGTAAAATTTGGAATAGTTTGAGAATGGGGCTAATCCTTGAATGATTGGTTGAGGTTTCGACTTAAAAAGTTGGGCTAAAATAATTTTTAATTTTTTTTTTATGAATAACTAAATAATTAGGGTGTACTTTGGATTTTGGGAACAAATTGTCATCTCTAGTAGGAATATATTTGGTGCACATTGTCGTGGAGAATTAAACAATACAATATATTAACTTTGGATCAAATTACATTGAAAATTGTGGAGACCTCCCCTTTAAATTTATAAATTTCAGAAACCTCCATTGAAAGTAAATATTTATTTCCAATATTACCACTTTACACTATTTTGAAATTCTTGTTTTATTAAATCTAAATTATATTGTTTTCTTTCTTATAACTTATTAATATCTGTTTTTTTTCATACTTTTGATATATATGATGCCACTTCAGTTAAAAATACCATTACAAATATTGTTATAAAATTTAAAAAAATAAAAAATGTGCTTTTTTTTTCCCAAATATGACTCAAAAATAAATAAATAGTCAGCAGAAATTAGTGTTCTAGAATAATTTAACAAAGATAATTGAAAATTCATTAAATATTTCATAACGCTATATTAAATAGCATTTTCTCTAATTTTAAGTTTTTCTTGTACTCTTGACGATTGTACTATATTAATAGGAAAAACATTAGAGCAAATGATCTCAAAACCTTGCCCAAATTGCATTTAGTGTCAAAGCATTTCAAAATTCGACAAAAATGATATCAAACTTTTTCATTTTTGGTGCAAACTTTTGACGGATTCAATAAAAAAAGACCATTAGTTTTGTGCATGCAATGCAATTGTCTTTGTTTTTATTTCAAGAGACAATTTCATCAAATTGTCTCTTGAAACAAAAACACAATAAAGGCACATTATACACACAAAACTACCGACCCTTTTGGATGGCCTTCGTCCAAAATGACCATTTGTGCAAAAAAACATTTGAAATATTTGAAAGAGCAAAACTTTGGGACCATTTGCTCCAATTTTTCATATTTATATTAGAAGATCAAATTAACGTTATCATAACATTTTCAATCAATCCGCCATCAAACGTTAGGGGCTTGGATTTCGTTTTAGTTCATTTTTGTAATAAATCAATTTTAATTCATTAATTTTTTATGAGAAATCGAAATCCACAAAAATATGAGAAGATAAAATCACTATGTAAAAAAAGATTATTTTAAAATTTAAATAATTTACTATTATCTAAATAAAAATGAAGAAGAAAACAAATATAAGCTAAGGAGAAAGGGCAAAATAGGAAGCTTTAAGCTTTGTTTTTTTTTTTTTTTTTTTTTGGGCTAAAATTGTGGTTTGGTATAAGTTATTTAAAATTTCGGTGAGGCGATGGTGATAGTTCTAGGGTGGTTGACTGGTTGTGTTGTCGAGCGGTGTGTGGTGGTGTTTGTGATTTTGATTTTTTAGGGTTATGAGTAGGATGCGAGGAGTGGGGGTACGTGAAAAAGATGACGGTCTTTATCTTCTTTTTTTTAGTTTTTTTAATATAATTATTTTAATTGTTGAATGCGATATTACTAGTTTATACTTTTGAAATTATAAAAAAAATGTCAAACTCAATTTTTTTTTTGTCAAGTAATAGAAATATGAATGGAATTCGTCTATTTGTCTCTCAACTACTACAGTTTGAAAGATTCGGGATGATGGCTGCAATGATTAAAAAGTTAGAAAAAAATCTATAAATATTTGAAAGGTTTGGGACCTCTGTTTCAATTTCCCTTATTTAAAAGCTGAAATTATTTTATAATTTTTGAAAGGAGAGAAATAGTACAAATGCAATAGAAAAATATGATATACAATGATATTTTAGCTTGCTTTTTCTATTTTAAACTGTTATTGAGTATTGAAAGTTGAAGGTGTAGCGCGAGGAAAAGTCTTACGTAAATAATTTTTAAGAAAAGAGCAAACCGACAAGGGCGGACCCAGAAACATGATTTAGTGGAGACGAGACAAAATTATGGAAAAATTATTAGTTAAAAACTTAAAATTATGGACTAAAAAATTATGTGGAATACTTTGTAAATGTAAAAAATTAAGGGTCCAATGGGTACAATTGCACCTATTGGCCCTTTAATGGGTCTGCCCTTGCAAGCGGATCCTAAGCCTTTATTTGAGAAATACTTTTAGAAAATTGACAGTCATCCCTATTATTCATTATTATTTATATATCTCGTGTCTCCTCCAGTATTCCTCCTAAAATTTCTTTTAATTTTCTAAAAAATTTCCAGAACATAGTCAAAACTAAATGGCAAAAAAAAAATTTTAATTATAATTACTGTGGAAAATTTCAAATTTATTATCTCATGTAACATATAAATCTAGCAACGTATTCACCAAAACCAATAATACACTTTACTACATAATATTTTTATTAGCCACCGTTTGAAAACCATTCAAACGAGTGTTTTTTGGAAAAGGTGTTTTGGAATATTGATTTTTTAGAAAATGTATGGTTAACAAGTTAAAAAAAAAAGATTTATGTGTAAAATATTTTATCACGACAACATGTGACTGAAAATGAGTTTGAAAATTTTAATGATATTAAGTCCATATTTAGTGTAGATGAAAATCATATTTTTAGTAATTTTTTTTTTTATCAAATTGATTAAGTATGAGTTGAAAACTTGTGTATCTCATATTTAAAATTAATTCTTGAATTTGATTTGAAATGTCTATTAAGTTTCTTATTCATATATACACATTTAGCTTTTGTTTAGTGGGTATTATAATTAAAATCTTATTATATTTTCATAAAAATTGATGAAATGTGTAAATGAAAAATTGTGAATTTCATGAAATATATTGTTAGAATTAGTTGTTGATTTTGACTTAAATTATAATTAAGATTTTAATATGTATGAAACAAATGCTTACTAGATTTTCGCTGGTAAAATTGTTTCTGGAATTCCGTTAGTGAACAAAGTCCCACGCCAATCACAGCGCGTGTATACTCTCCAATAATTTGCAGTCATCACTGATTCACTTGTGCTCCCCCACACTCGCACTATTCCCAATCACAACTCCTATTTCATGTCACCCACGCGCCACCATAGATCAGTTAGCAGTCACACTCTATGGAGTTAGAGCTTGTTTAGTGTAGCTATTAATTCAATTAAAATCAATTTTTTTACTTTTATTTTATTATTTTAACTGTCATTTTTGAATTTTTCTTTCACAAGTAGGATTCATTTTATCTCTAACGGTCAAAAAATCAATTATCAAAATCTTTATCAAACAAACACATAATTAAGGCCCCGTTTGGGAAGGATTTTGAGAATTGATTTTTTGTTCGTTAGAAGAAAAGTGTGGTCCACCTGTGAGAGAAGAAGTCAAAAATTACTACTAAAATAGTGAAATAACGGTCAAAAAATTAATTTTTTTAGGTAAAAAATTCCTCCCAAACAGACTGTAAATGAGTGACCACTAAAAATCACTTGTTCACCGAAAATATAAAAGTTACCAAATGCTCATTGAAGTATTCATCATTTTACTCATTCATCACTATTGTCACTTTCAACTGGCAAAAAAGTTCTACATGGCAGATGAAAAGATGATGTGGCAAACGAAATCCTTAAATCTTTCCACGTTAGCATAAATTGTTGTTTGTAAAACGACTTGTGCAACATTGTTGCTAATCTCTGCACAATCAATATTCACTAGGATCATGATTCCCAACATTTTTTTAGTCCCAATTCAGATAACGATGGGATTTTCTTAGGGCTTAGTCAAAGATGGCGATTTCGTTGCCTTTCTCAATCCATTTCTGTAAAATATTGGTGGCGCTCCTCTTGGGGAATCTTGAGCCTCTAGAACCGTTATTATCAATTTAACATCTTTTCTCAAGAGTTGTACTGTATTCATCAGTCCCCAATAATTCTCTTTCTAATTCCCATATCAAATCTTTTTTCATTTGCTATTGAAATTAGGGCCTGATAAAATCCATAAAATATTGCAAAACTTTGAGTTGGTTTTTGAAGGTTGAATCGCCGTCAAGGCTTCAGAGGTAGGGCGTGGTCATGGCGGCACCTTATTCAGTTATTCAGCTTCCAAGTCTAAGGAGGAATGACGTGATTTGGGAGAAGAAACATTTTTTAATTTAATATTTATTATTATTATTTATAAAATACAAATTTCTGATGAAGTGGTACGATTCACCCATTTTGTATGCCACGTCATTTTTTCATCTGCCATGTAAAAATATTTGTCAACCTGTATCGATGGCAATGACTATAGTGATAGATGGGTAAACCATTAAATATTTTAATGAGCGTTGAATGATCATTTAATTTTCAGTGACCAAGTTGTAACTTTTGGTAGAGTTGAGTGGCCCTCATTTAATTAACTCCACTCTCAATCTCTCTCCTTGCCAGTGTTTTCATGTGGTATTATACACTCACACGCCATAAACGTTTTCTCTTTTTCTCTCTCTAGATAACTCTTCCAATTTTCTCTCTCTAGGTTTAGATCCGAGAGTTATTTTTATATATAGCTCTCCATGGACTTGCTCCTTTTCTGCTAATACGAGAGAGAAAGCAATGCAAATTATTAATCCTGTTGTAACTTCTGACATATACATACATCAATAGATACAACCTTTACGTGTTTCTATATATGTATAGACATTCTTTTCATCTTCACCATTTCTTCCCTCTTTCTATTTCTCATTTCCTATCTCTATCTAGATTATGATTCAAGCTGATTGATGGTATATATGAACAGATAGGTGCACAGAGTAGTGTGAAAATAATTGGAAAATCAGGTTGATATTCGAGGAGCTGAGTGATGTTGGACCTTAATTTGACTAGCGATGCTAACGAATCGATCACAAATTTAGGCGAAATGGTGTTGGAAAAGCATCTAGATGGCTCCGGGGGTCAGATGGAGAATGCCGGCAGTTATAATTCCTCTGTTGCCAACGTGGATACCACAAGCAGTGCCGGTGACGGGGACTCTTGTGATAACCAATTCATCGGTTTCGATATATGGAAGGGGAATGGTGATTATGAAGAGAGTGAGTATCAGAGTGGCGTTTCTGTGACGAAGGAGTTCTTCCCTGTGACCGCCGAAGGGACATCGGCGGCACGGCATTGTCAATGGTCCGACGTTTCAGGGAATTGTGGTGGAGTGGCGGCTCAAAGGACAATATCTCAGCAGAAGCAGCAGATTAAGAAGAGTCGTAGAGGACCGAGGTCTCGCAGCTCTCAATACCGTGGAGTCACATTTTATCGCAGGACCGGTAGATGGGAGTCTCACATTTGGTTAGTGTAATAAATGTTCATAATGTTATAGCTTCTTGTTTTAGTTGATGCATTTTTCTGCACATCGTGATGCATTATTTTTAGTTATATAATTATAAGAATCAAACTGCATGATAGATTACACCTTACATATTGGTTGTCAAATTTTGAGTTCATTTATGGATATAGCTGGGTAGGAGTTTGGTACGTACCCTGCATTCAATTGTCACAGCCTTTTATGGATTTTAATCGCAATCAAATATCTTTAATATATATTTTAAAATGCCTTTACACGTCACTTTTGCAGGGATTCTGGAAAACAAGTTTATTTGGGTAAGGAGCTAAAACTTTTACTCTGTGTATGATTTCCTATTGTGTGCTAGTGATTGTTGAGGCGTTGGTTTATAAAGTGTAGCTGACATTTTTGTGATGCTGCTTGCAAATGAAACTTCAACTCATAGGAGGATTTGACACTGCACATGCTGCAGCTAAGTAAGATCTTTTCGTTGATTGAGAGTTAACATTAGTTTCAATAAGTTGAGAGCATTTTGGTTGATAGAATGGCAATATATATGTGTGCGATTGAATTTTAACTCCAGGGCATATGATCGTGCTGCAATAAAGTTTCGTGGAATTAATGCTGATATAAATTTCAACGTCAGTGATTATGAAGAAGAACTTAGCCAGGTTGCTTAGAATTGTTCTTGAGTTGAGCATTTTTCCACTTGACCCTGTTGTTTTCCAAAGAACAACTTTTATTGGGGATTATTTTACTCTGCAGATTATGAATTTGCCCAAGGAAGAGTTTGTGCAGACACTTCGTCGCCAGAGTACGGGCTTCTCTAGAGGAAGTTCAAAGTACAGGGGGGTTACATTACACAAATGTGGGCGATGGGGTAATAGTGTCAGTGTAATGATGCCCATGATTTACAAAATATTTAACTTTATAATAATATTCTTATATGTTACAAATTATTTGTTAATCGAATAGATCAATAACGAAATTTATTTTTCAACAAATCATCATTTGATTAAAGACAAACAAAGATTGATAAATATCATATATGATGACAATATTGCTTGAAATCTTTAACAATACAACGTGAAACATATTTCACCAAAATTGTAATATTGTAAACACTGACGTACAGGACATCGATGACTTAAAACAAGAATTTTCAAATATTGCAACCAAGGGGAACAATTATACATTTTCTTGACAAGATTTTAAATAGGTAGATATTTTGTAATGTGTAGTTAATTGGAGAGTATTATAAATTATATATTTATTAGTGAATGATAATAATACCCATAGTTCTAATGTTTATAATGAGTGCATACTTAATTATTCTTTATAAATATGGAACTTTGATAAACAATAAAATACATACAAGTCTATTATCTTATTCACTTTCTTCCCTTTTTCCTTTATTTTATAACTTTTTTTTTTCATCCAAAATTTTATTTTTTCACTTGCGTGGAAGCTGCGAGCCAACTCGTGCTTTCCAGCTAATGGCTTGCACAGGAAAATGTCAGCTCAGCTAGCCCCATGACCCACCTACATCCATAGAGTTGGGTCGGAGGTGGTAGACGACTGCGTTCAGCAATAACTTTCGCGATGTGTAAAGGATCTAAACTTTGAAATCCGGTTTTACACAGTGAAAGGGATCGACAATTCGTATGACTGGTGGGGTTAATAGAGAGATAGAGAAAGTGGGAGTGGTGGGGCCGGCCTGTTCAAATCCAAGAGAGAAATGCTGATACAGAGAAAAAGCGGGGGCGACGGGGGCAAGATACAGGGAGAAAGTGGAAGGTTTCGAGATTTTGTTATTGTTAATTTGGGGGAAGTGACGTGCGATTGAAATTAGTTTAAGAAAAAAAACTTGAATTTTCATTTAGCCCCTGTTTGATTCCCATTACGTGAAAAATTTAATGGGTGGAATAATATATTTTTGAAAAATGAGTGGTTGAAAAAAAATGAAAAGTTTTCGATTTACGTATAATATTATTTTATGAAAAATTGTGTGGTTAAAAATAGAATAGAGAAAAATGAAATGTAATAGAATGAAAATTAATGAGGCTCAAACAGGGGCTTAATTGAGAGATAGATCTAATTTTCTCATTAAAATGTGATGAATACGCTATACGCCCTTTCTTCAAGAAACTGAAAATGAGATAAGGACTGAGCTTCTCTGCCAAAAAATACATGTTAGAGGCCTTGATCGACACACACATTTGGAGGTGGGGCCACTTCTTCCTCCCAGTTGTTCATTCATGCGGGACTCGACGATTGTGAGAGGATGTCAAAGCCTCTGTCAGCCATTTTTCTGACAGAAAAGTTTTTTTGATGAGATAATTAAGCCCTCGTTTGGTTCCTATTCTCTATCATTTTTTTCCTTTCTTCTATTTTCAACCCCACAATCTTTCATAAAATATTATTACACGTAAATTGAAAGTTTTTCATTCTTTTTCAACCACATATTTTTAAAAAAAATATTATTCCAAACATAAAAAATGGGGGCTAAAATTCTATTGAGAAATTAATAGCTAGGACAGAACGTGTGACTGATTTCTATGCCGACTTGAACACTCTTTGGTCAACCCAAAAATGTAAATTACGACGTTATAATAATGTGGTTTCATATTTGTTGCCCTCAATACCCAGCAGAACGTCAAAAAAGTGGAGCATTATCAAGATTTGGCCAGCATATGTTGGCCCCTTGACCTTTTGTGATCATTACAAATCACTTGGTAACATGGAATCACTAATATTTTCTAGTATGTGAAGTTGAGACAGAAGTGTCTTTTAACGTAATGTCTTCGAGCGCAATTTTGTTCAAAACTTTGATGATTTACTGGGCCCTTGTTTAATTCTCATTCTTTTAAAAATTCATTTTCAATCTTACATTTTTCAATAAAATAATATTACACGTAAATTCAAAATTTTTCTTTAATTTTTAACCGCACATTTTCCATCAATCTACTATTGAAAATACATTATTTCCCTCAAAATGGAAATCAAACCAAGGTTGATTTTTCCAATTTATACTAGAGGCTTGTTCGGTGGGATTTTTTATTTTTATTTTTTTACTTCTTGTAGAAGAGTTTTTTGAGCAAGCTACCTTAATTAATGTTTGTAAACTAATTTCTAAAAGCTTGTCTTCAAAAGGAATTTTTAGATGAAGTCATATTCAGTCAGCTTCCTCTTCAGCATAATGTATTATAGTGCAATTTGGTACAAAAAACTCGATAATTTACGGGATTTTGCAATTCACACTAAATGACCTTTTGATAGGGCTTCTCTTTTAAAAGAGTTTTTATATGGAGCCATATTGGATATGCTTTCTCTTTAGTATAATGTCTTTGAGCGCAATTTCTTACAAAAACTCAATGATTTATAGGATTTTGCAATTCACGATAATAGTCTATTTGACATGGCTTTTATTTTTACTTCTTATAAAAGTATTTTATGAGGAAGTTACCTTAAATGTCGTTGAAAATTAATTTCTACAAAAGCCTTTGAAGAAAATCATGTTGGATCAACGTCCTCTAAAACTCTGCTAACTTGAAGAAGCATTTTTATAAAATGAATCAAACAAGTTTAAAAATAGCCTTACGATCTCAAAAATCTCCTTTTAACTTCTCAAAAGTCATAACAAACGGATTCTTAACATTCCATTTTATTGCTGCTCAAATTTACTATGTTACATAAGTCCCTAATGAAGTGATTTGAGTTTATAGATAACAAGTCTCGTTCACTCAAATTGGTGAAATACTTAGGATTTGTTCGGTGGTGATTATGAGAATTGATTTTTTGACTTTTAGATAAAAAAATGGATTTCACTTGTAAGTGAAGAAGTTAAAAATAACGACTAAAATAGTAAAATAACGATTAAAAAATTGTTTTTTGAAGTGAAAAATTGCTATCAAACACATACTTAGTTTCTAGAAGGAAGTGCTAGTGGATGTGTTACATGCACATCTCAATTAATTATACCGTAGAAGGAAATACGTATAGGCTAAAACAGGAAGTAATGTAAATTTTCTCATCGAAAAATAAAGAAAAATCCCGTTGTTACTTGAACTATTCTGTCGGCATAAACTTTTGCTTTTTCATATTCATTGTCAAATTTCAATAATATATATCCGTAATAAAGCAATGTTGATGTGAATGGACATTATTAACTTTAGCTAAGTTGACGGGACATGTCAAGAAGATGAGATTTGAGTTTAATTAATTAATTAATGGTCTATAATCTGTTGGACCAACTGATGTATTAAATAGGTTGATTTAAGGAATCTATGAGTGACTTTCGAGTATGTTAATGATGTGTCATAAGATGATTTTATATTGCGGATTTTTTTTTTATTTTTTTTGCTTTTTAACTTTTGTTTTTACACTATATTCACATTTATTGCTTGAACGAACTTTAACTTAGAAGATATGGTGCAAGTGAATTTTACCATCCAGATCTATGCTTAAGGTAGGAACGGGTGGGCGGCTCAGCTGGGCGGGACGATCATCGACCACTCGTCCCTTCACTGTCTAATTGTTTATTTTATTTTATTTTATTTTGTTGTAAAATTTGGAGTAGTTTGAGAATGGGGCTAATCCTTGAATGATTGTTTGAGGCTTCGACTTAAAAAGTTGGGCTAAAATAATTTTTTAAAAATATATATATTTTTTATAAATAACTAAATAATTAGGGTGTACTTAGGATTTTGGGAACAAATTGCCATCTCTAGTAGGAATATATTTGGTGCACAATGTCGTGGAGAATTAAACAATACAATATATTAACTTTGGATCAAATTACATTGAAAATTGTGGAGACCTCCACTTTAAATTTATAAATTTCAGAAACCTCCATTGAAAGTAAATATTTATTTCCAATATTACCACTTTACACTATTTTGAAATTCTTGTTTTATTAAATCTAAATTATATTGTTTTCTTTCTTATAACTTATTAATATCTGTTTTTTTTTTCCATACTTTTGATATAGATGATACCACTTCAGTTAAAAATACCATTACAAATATTGTTATAAAATTTTAAAAAATAAAAAATGTGTTTTTTTTTCAAATATGACTCAAAAAATAATAAATAGTCAGCAGAAATTAATGTTCTAGAATAATTTAACAAAGATAATTGAAAATTCATTAAATATTTCATAACGCTAGATTAAATAGCATTTTCTCTAATTTTAAGTTTTTCTTGTACTCTTGACGATTGTACTATATTAATAGGAAAAACATTAGAGCAAATGATCTCAAAACCTTGCCCAAATTGCATTTAGTGTCAAAGCAATTCAAAATTCGACAAAAATGATATCAAACTTTTTCATTCTTGGTGCAAACTTTTGACGGATTCAATAAAAAAAGACCATTAGTTTTGTGCATGCAATGCAATTGTCTTTGTTTTTATTTCAAGAGACAATTTCATCAAATTGTCTCTTGAAACAAAAACACAATAAAGGCACATTATACACACAAAACTACCGACCCTTTTGGATGGCCTTCGTCCAAAATGACCATTTGTGCAAAAAAACATTTGAAATATTTGAAAGAGCAAAACTTTGGGACCATTTGCTCCAATTTTTCATATTTATATTAGAAGATCAAATTAACGTTATCATAACATTTTCAATCAATCCGCCATCAAACGTTAGGGGCTTGGATTTCGTTTTAGTTCATTTTTGTAATAAATCAATTTTAATTCATTAATTTTTTATGAGAAATCGAAATCCACAAAAATATGAGAAGATAAAATCACTATGTAAAAAAAGATTATTTTAAAATTTAAATAATTTACTATTATCTAAATAAAAATGAAGAAGAAAACAAATATAAGCATAAGGAGAAAGGGCAAAATAGGAAGCTTTAAGCTTTGTTTTTTTTTTTTTTTTTTTTTGGGCTAAAATTGTGGTTTGGTATAAGTTATTTAAATTTCGGTGAGGCGATGGTGATAGTTCTAGGGTGGTTGACTGGTTGTGTTGTCGAGCGGTGTGTGGTGGTGTTTGTGATTTTGATTTTTTAGGGTTATGAGTAGGATGCGAGGAGTGGGGGTACGTGAAAAAGATGACGGTCTTTATCTTCTTTTTTTTAGTTTTTTTAATATAATTATTTTAATTGTTGAATGCGATATTACTAGTTTATACTTTTGAAATTATAAAAAAAATGTCAAACTCAATTTTTTTTTTGTCAAGTAATAGAAATA